ATTTTTAACTCCGCGTGTTGTAAATGATAATTAAAGTAAAATTGATTACAATTAGGTTCTTTGTATGCGATAAATTTTAATTCCAAAATGTCGTAAATGACAATTGGATAATGGTAAAATATATTTAGGCAACTGAAACATTAGATGAAATTGACTAAAATTATCTATTTATTATCGATTAATTTTAAATTTTAAATGTTATATACGGTAATTAAAACGAAATAGATTACAATAAAAAGAAAAAAATAATAAATGAAACTGATTATGATTGAAGTATATTTAGGTAACTGAAGTTAATTACAATTAACTCGTTGTACGTAGTTAATTTTAACTCTGAGAATAGTAACTGGAAAATTTAAGCGAAATTAATTTTCAATAAAGGGTGAAACAACGTGAAGACACTACCAAATGTGCTACAATAAATTTAGATACGGTTAAAATAAATTATAAGCTATACTATATATTTAGTATTATTTGCATTTAATTAATAATCATAAATGTATCCTTCATAATTCAGTTTAAAATCTATAAAATATAATTTAAATTAGCTTAGAAAAACAGCTAATAATGCATTTCAAAAGTCTTATTCTATCAAATATAGGAAAAATTTAAGTACAAAAATCCTTTCTTGGTATAAAAGAATCATGTAAATTTTTCAAGAACACAATGAAAATATTAATTGCACAGCTTTTAACATGTCAAAAGGCAATGGCGAGAGAAGAATGTGTACCTTAATGGTTGGTAAACAGCTCTGTGCATTGAATAGGAGAAAGATTTGAAAGGAAATGATCGTTAGGACCATCTCAATAAAAGGTTAGAATATTTGTAATAAACGATGACGTCAATCGGATCGATAGTAAGAGAGTTAAAGCTGAAGTGTTGAGTATCTAGCTTATTAATTTAATGATATTACATGATCGATATTGAAAACTTTATAACATTCTCTAACACTGTATATACTATTTTTAATATGGAGATTTTTTATTAATACATACAAATAATTGCTTTCCTTAATCGATATATGAGGCATAAAGTCATTAAGACTTCTATTCCTATAATAGGGCTTAGTTAAATGAGAGTTCTACTATATTTATACTTCATAATAGTTTCGAGAAAGAAGCGGTGATAATGTTCAGCCCGTAACAGAGAATTAATGATGCTGAACTTTGCTGATATATTTTGATTTTACGCGTGCGTAGTAATTTTTTAAACGAAATCGATCACGTGATTTCTATTGTTAAAATTCAAATTTAATTGATAACGATAAGAACACGCTTAAGAAACTGACAGATTTAAAATGAAATTTGATTAAACTTATCTTTAACCGATTAATTTGATTTCTGATTGTTGTAAACGATAATTAAAGTGAAATTAATGATAAAATGTGTTTATGTAACTGACAAATTTAAATGAAATTGATTAAAATTAATTTATCGAAGAATGACGAATCTTGTTGGAAAGAGGACATTACAGGAGAAGGTTTCTTCTCTTAAAAAAAACAACTTAAATATTTAATAATTTAATATAAATCATATAAATTTGGGATTATAAAAGAACGCATTAAAAGGCATTTTTTAAACACACGACTCGACTATAACTTAAGGTTATTTATTACTCGAAATTACTTGCTTAAAATAGCTTTTAAATATATTCTAGAAATAAAAAAAAAATCAAGTTTAATTTTCTGTAATTATGATTCTCCGTACTTTTAAAGACTTGGCATTTGTTCATATCGGTTCTAATATCGACGATAAAAATTGCCTTGAAGTGCAGAATACTCAATCACTAAAAACGTGATGTTGCATCAAGATGAATGATCTCGTTCCATATTTAATAATAATAACTCAATAAAATTTCGAAATAATCGAAAAAGAAAAATGATTTTTCGAGACGATCAATTGTTTAAAACATCGTATATTTTTTAATTAATTAAATTAATTAATTATTAGGGTCAAACTTCAATTTAGCATCACCATTTCTTTGACTCTGAAAATCGAGTGAGGTGCTAAACCGAAGCACCTCGAATAAAAGATACTTCACAAGTTCGAATTTGTGATTTGTGAGATGAAAAAGTCGTAGTAATTCGCGTATAATGAAAGGTTCTCTATTTTAGAGGAAGATCCATTCGTAAGTACTCCGTTTAAACTTTATGAAGATAGCGAAGAACCGTTTTAACAGGCGATATATCGAGGTTTGACTGTACAGAAGACAAATAAGAGAATTACTCCGGTTAAAAAGGAACGTGTAAGAGGAAGAAGAAGAATTATATTTTAATCCTTTATAAAGCAATTAAATTTATTTAACATCATTTATACAGCACAACAAACATCGAGATATTCGCATTCACAGGAAAGAAACTACAGAAAGCTTTATAAATGAATAAATTTAAATATATTCTGATAACATATTTAGAGTTAGTTATTTTTTATTATTATTAAATTTAAAGAAATTATTTATTTTTTTAAACTTCTGATTTTGGCACTGAAGTATACTAGCTATATAACAACATTTCATTAAGTATTATATTATTATTTTTATATATATGTATATATATATATAGCTGAATTAATCTCAAACAAACAACATTTTGATCTTTCAACGTCGCTCTTTATATAACAATTCTTAGTATTTATTTATTTTTAAATCCTAACAATAATAATCTTATATACAAATCTTCATCATCTTAACAATTATTATTATTATTATTAATAATTTATTTTAATAATTTGACAGCATTTTGCAACTCATTCTGTGCGTTAATCTGTGCATATTTTATTATTATTATTATTTTAATTTTGAAAAAATACAAATTTATTTTTAATTAAATAAATAAAAAAATAAGCCAAATTAATAACCATGTGCG